TCAGTGTTATCATACAAGGAAGAAAATTGATAATAATGTATGAAATTCTGGCTAACTAGTACAGTAAGTAATATTTTCAAATATAGTTTAGGTAATGAAAACTATGGTAGCTATGAACCTGATAATTTTGATCACAGGAGCTAATTCTAAGATTATATAACAAAATCAAGCATGAACCATGTAGTTGTGCACAGTGATACTGCCCTTATTGGAGTGATTTTATCATACTGAGGGTACCAGAGTGTTACAATGTGTAAGGGACAAAATACTTTAAGGAATGAGTTTGTGTATTGTAGAATCAAGAATGGAGGTCTAAGGGTGATCACTCAAATTTTTGGAAACTGAAGAGAACAGGAGGGAGAGAATGAAAGGGAAAGTAAAGGAGTAATCAGAAAGGGAAAAGATAGACTTTACTTAACTGAAAATCTGATTTCAAGAAGTAGGTGAGGAAATAAAGATTATTAAAAAAAACAGAAAGGAAAGAAATCTAATAAGTGAAAAAACTGTGAAGAAAGAGAAGAAAGAAAAAGAAAAGAGAAAAAAGACCAGAAAAAATGGAGGAATAAAAAGACTATATAAACAACCAAGCCACAACATACAAAACAAAACATTACAAAATTCAACAAGATAGGAAAAGCCTAGCCAATAATAGAAACAAGAGAAAATAAAACTAGCAAATTATCTCAGGTATTCATAGTTCTGTGATTGTGCATGGATCAGATCGTTGAAGTGTGCTGTTAACTGCAGCCGAGATTGCTATGGAAATTGTGCTGGTTGTAACTGGTTTTGGCCTGTAAATGTTTGTACTGGGACTGTTCATCTGTTAGTGGAAATCTGCACAATCACACTTCTGGTTCCTTACTACTGCTAGAGACAATTGTACATTGCTGCTCTCGCTGCTTACTCTGTTCACCAAAGGTGTGTGCACCATTCCATGTGGGCCACCTAGCCTGGTGTTGGTATTATGATTTTTAATAATATTAACTCTAAATAAAAATGATACATATTTTCATGTATTTAATAATATTAATTTCATAAATATGAGACATATTTTCATGTATTTTTGTGTTTCCTCTAACTCTGTCATCAGTGCTCTACATTTTAGATGTTTTATTTTTGTAGCTACTATAAATGACATGGATTTCTTGAATTAGTTCTCAGGAAAGATTTTATTGGTATATAGAAAAGTACTGATTTTTTAAAGTTGATTTTGCATCGTTCTCCTGTACTGAATACATTTATCAGTTCTAATAATTTTTTGGTAGAGTGAGTTGTTTTGTATATATAATTATATAACCTATAAACAGATAATTTTAACTCTCCATCTGCTATACTTTTCAATCTTTCTTTTGCTAAAAGTCTCTGCTAAAATTTCTAGTGCTCTTGAGTAATATCAATGAGAATGGGCATCTTTGTCTTTTACTGGCTCTTAAGTAATTGCTTTCAGCTTTTCCATATTCAATAACAAATGGACTATGGTTTGTCCTTTTTTGCATAAAGATATAGTCTATGTATACCTGTTTTTTCAGTGCATGTGTCATAAAGAAATATTAAATTTTCTTTTTTAAAATTTTTTATTTTATTTCAAAGAGATTAAGACAAAAAGAACAGAACAAAGCAGATCAGAACAGAACAATGTAAGCAACACAGCACTTTACCACAAGACAACCGGATATTAACAGTAGCTACCATAATGTCTCTTTCTTTGATATAGTTGAGCATACCTTCACATACAATATTATCAAACCTAACAAAATAGAATAAAACCATTCAAGTGAATGAAAGTATTACAGGGCATTCAGAATCAAAATACAGAAAATGAATGTATTAGTGTTTTACTACAGAGAAGAGACATAACATGAGATATATAGAAACAACAAGATTGGCTTACAATGGTCAGCCACAGAGTCAGATGAGGAAGCATGAAGAGGGTGTCTATACACTGGAGGCCGAGGATTCAATCCCAGGTCTGGAGTTGACCCCAGTGTCTTGTGCAAGTTCATACCAGCAGGCTGATGGGTCTGCAATAGAAGGCCAAAGGCTTTATGATGAAAGGCTGAAGAGTGTATGCCAGAAATCTGGAGTCTACACTGATAGCCAGGAGACAATGCCCAAACCAAAGGCAAAGACTGGAGCTTCTCCCCCCCCCAAAAAAAAGAATGTATTCATCCTTCTTTCTTCCCTTTTATACCTCCAGTTGATGAGCCACCCTAGGGTGGATCTTCTTCTGCATCCTTGGATGTAGTGTTGCTAAGCCCATTTAGTTAAGCTTCTAAATGTCTCAAGTTGATACAATCAGTCAACTACTACAATGAAAAATAGCTACTGTATTATCTCATTTTTCATAAAAATTGTTCATACTATCACACATACTAAAATCCAATAAGACACAACATGATAGAACCAATGGAAACAGAAGAACAAAAAGCATGGTAGGACTTCAAAGCAAGATGATATTAAATCAGCAATAGCTGCCAAAATGTCTTGTTTTCTTTAAAATGGCTGTTCATACCATCACACATAATAAAATAAAAAATAGAATAAAATCATTCCAACTAATGCATGAAAACATTATAAGGCTTCAAAGCAATGTAATGGAGAATCATGATTACCATTAAACCTTATGTACTTACAATTTCTTACTAGGGAGACTATACAGTATATATATATATGTGAGTTTGATTTATCTTGCTTATGAGTATGGTCTCAAGTTGTGTTCATTTACTTATAAATATCTCAAAGTGATCATTCTTTATAGCTGGCTAATACTCTATTATATAAAAATACCACAACTTTTTTATCCATTCCTCAGTTGATGGACACTTAGGTTGTTTCCAAGATCTGGCCATTACAAATTGTGCTGCTATAAACATGGGTGCACATATATCACTGTGGTATAATGTTTTCAGTTCTTCTGTGAATATGCCTAGAAGTGGAATAGCTGGGTCAAATGGGACTTCCAATCCCAGATTTATGAGGAATTTCCAGACTGACCTCCACAATGGTTGCACCAGTCTACACTCCCAACTGTGCAGGAGAGTTCATTTTTCCCCACAGCCTCTCCAGTATTTATGGTTGGTAGTTTTCTTGATCCTGGTATTCTTTCTGGAGTGAGATGGAATCCCAGTGGTTTTTTTTTTAATTTTCATTTGTCTAATGAATAATGATGATGAACATTTTTTCATGTATATATTTGCAATTTATATTTCTTCAACTGAGAACTGTATATTTATCTCAGCTGTCCATTTTTGGATTGGGTCTTTGAATTTCAGGGGTCTGATATTTTTATTTGTTTATATGCTTTAGACAGAAGTTCTTTGAGGGACAGTTCACTAAGATTTTTTTCTCAGCTTGTGGATTTTCTTTTCACTGTGCAGGAAATTTTTTTCAACATCAGAAACTTTTCAATAAGACCTGATCCCAATTATTGATTTGAGGTATTTCCTATGCAGTTTGATTCCTGTTCATGAATTCTCTACCTACTCCTATGTCTTCAAGATTTTTACCTAACTTGTCTTTGAACAGATTTAGTGTTTCTGTTTTAATATATAGATCTTTGATCAATTTATATTTTAGTACATAGTGATAGGCATGGGTCTAGTTTTAGTTTTTGGCATATGGAGAGCCAGCTTTTCCAGCATCATTCATTTAAGAAACTATCATTCTTCCAGTTAACATATTTGGTCTCTTTATCAAAGATAAGGTGGTTGAGTGTATTTGTAGTTGTGGTTGTATCTTCTAATCTATTCCATTGATCTCCAAGCCTCTTTTTATTACTAAACCATGCTGATTTTATTACAGTAGCCCAGTAGTATAAATGCCAATAAGGATTGTGATGTCTCCTGCCTTGCCTTTGCTGCTTAAAATTGCCTTTGCTATTCTAGGTCTCTTCTGGCTCCAGATGAATTTTAGGAGTGATTTGTCTTGATCTATGAGGTATGGTGACGATATTTTCATTGGTATTGCATTGAATCTGTTTAAAAGTTTTGGTAGAAGGACCATTTTCACAATATTTATTCATCCTATCCATGAACAAGGGATGTCTTTCCATTTTCTGAGATCTCTTTGATTTCTTTTTTAAGGATATTATAATTTTCCCTGTGTAGATCTTTTACTTCTTTTGTGGTGTTATTTCATAAGTATTTCATTTTTTTTGGATGCTAGAGTGAAGGGTGTAGCTTCTCTTATTTCTCTCAGTGGTTTTATTGTTATTATATAGGAATGCTATTGATTTTTGAATATTGACTTTGTATTTAGCTACATTGCTGAGTTTATATACTACATCTAGGAGTTTTTCAATGGAGTTTTTGGGATCTTCTATGTAGAGCATTATGTCATCTACAAATAATGCTAATTTTACTTCTTTTCCTATCTTTACTCCTTTTATTTCTCTCTATTGTCTTATTGCTCTGGCTAGTATTTCCAGTACTATGTTAAATAGGATTGGTGACAAGGGACATGTTTGTCTTGTGCCTAATTTTATGGTAAATGATTTCAGTTTTTGGCCATTTAATATGATGCTGGCTGTTGGTTTGTCATATATGGCCTTTATCATATTGAGTTAAAGACCATCTATTCCCATTTTCAGTAATGTGCTTATCATAAATGAATATTGGACCTTATTAATAGCTTTTTCTGCATCTATAGAATTGATCATGTGATTATTACTTTTGACTCTGTTGATATGGTGGATTACATTTATTGATTTATATAGGTTGAACCATTCGTGCATGCCTGGGATGAATGCCAATTGTTTGTGGTGTATAATCTTCTTGATGATTTGCTGCATCCTGTTTGCCAATATTTTATTGAGAATTTTTGCATCTGTGTTCATTAGGGAGATTGGCTGGTAGTTTTCCTTTTTATTTGGGTCTTTCTCAGGTTTTGGTACTAGAGTAATATTTGCTTCCAGGAAAGACTCAGAAAGAATTGCTTCCTTTTTTATTTCACTGAAGAGTTTGAGTAGTGTTGGCATTAAGACTTCTTTGTATTTCTTGTAGAGTTCTGCAGTGAATCCACCTGGGCCTGGGCTCTTCTTTGTAGGTAAGGACTTAATTACACTTTCAATTTAATTAATAGGAATTGGGTCATTCAGCAGTTTTACATTTTCTTGACCCAGTTTGGTAGTTCATATATCTCTAGGAATCTGTCCATTTCAACTGTGTTATTGAACCTATAAGAGTAGAGGTTTTAAAAATAGGTGTTGATGATCTTTTGTATTTCCACAGAGTCTGTAGTGATTTCATCTTTTATATTCTTTATTGCATGAATTTAGCTTCTTCTTCCCTTTTGAAATAAGTTGGCTATGGGCTTATCAGTTTTATTTATTCTTTCGAAGAACCAACTCTGATTCATTGATTTGTTGGATTGTTTTCTCTGTTGCATTAATTTCTGCTCTGATTTTTATAATTTCCTCCCTTATTTTGGATTTGAGATTGACTTGCCCTTCTTTTTCTAGATGTTTAAGATTTAGCTTCAGGTTGTTTATTTGTGTTTGTTCTGTTTTCCTGATGTGAGAATTCTGTGCAATAAATTTTCCTCTGAGGATAGCTTTCTTTGCATCTCACAGATTCCAGTAACTTCTATCTGTATTTTTGATTGCTTGTAGATAATGTTTAATTTCTTCTTTAATTTCCTCTGTAACTCAATGATTACTCAGGCATGTATTATTCAATTTCAATGTGTTTCTTTGGTTTTTGCAATTTCTTTTGTCATTAATTTCTTGTTTCATGGTGCTATGATCTGATAATATGCATGGGATAATTTCAATTGTTTGCATTTACTTAAATATGTTCTGTGGTCTATTATATGGTCCATTTTAGAAAATGTTCTATGTATTGTTGAGGAGAATGTATGTTCTGATGTTGCTGAATGGAAACTTCTGTATACCTCTAGCAAGTTCATTTGTTCACAGGTGTGGTTCAGTTCTGTTATTTCTTTGTTGATTTTCTGTCTGGTTAATCTATCCCTTTATGCTAATAGTGTGCTAAGGTCTCCTGTTATAATTGTTTTATTTCTTACTTGATTTTTCATTTCTGTTAATACTTGCTTTGTATAGCTGGGTGATCTGGAATTTGGTACATACATATCTAAGGTTTCTTCCTTTCCTGTTCCTCTTGAAGTTTTCCCTTAACTAGTATGTAGTGACCTTCTTTATCTCTTTGGATCATGCTTGGTTTGAAGTTTGCATTGTCTGAAAACAGGATAGCTACTTCCACTTTTTTGTGCTTTCCTGTTGCATGAAGTATTGTTTTCCATCCTTTGACTTTCAGTCTATGAATTTCCTTTTGGTTTAGGTGAGTTTCTTGTAGACAGTATATGGTTGGATGTTGTTTCTTGATCCATTCTGCCAGTCTGTTTGTTTTAATTGGTGAATTGAGATAATTTACATTAAAGGTTATAACGGTTATATATTTGTTTATTGCTGACATGTTATCTTTCTGCTGTTGCATCTTTATCTTTCCATTTTGTTTAATTGTCTGCCTTGCTTTGTGATTTTTTCCTATGTGCATCTAGAATGTCTTTCAGTATTCTTTGCAGAGTTGGTTTGGTGATCATGAAGTTCTTCAACTGTTCTTTGTCATGGAAATATATTATTTCTCCATCCATTTTTAAAAAAAGTTTTTTAGGGTACATCAGTCTAAATTGGATGTCATTTTCCTTTAGGATCTGAAATACTTCACTCTTCTTGACTTTGTTGAGAAGTCTGCTGTGATTCTGATTGGTTTTTCTTTATAGGTGATCTGTTTTTTCTCTCTAACAGGTTTTAATATTGTATTCTTATGTTGCATTTCTGGGACAGTGATTATTATATATCTGGGTGTAGTTTTATTTTGGTTATGGCTATTTGGAGTTCTATATGCTTCACTAATCCATGTGTCAGTTTCCATTCTCATGTTTGGGAAATTTTCAGCTATTATTTCTGTAAATAGCCTCTTGATATCATTTTTGTTGTTCCCTTCTTTTTCATTTATCCCTATCAATCTTATGTCATTTTTCTTTGCATCATCTTGCAGCTGTTGAATTATTTCATGATTCCTTGTTAGTTTTAAAAGATCTTTCCTTTCCTGTTCACTAGCTGCAATCTTATCTTTGAGGTCTGAAATTCTATCTTCACTTTTGTTGAGGCAGTTTTGACAACTTTCAATGGAATTTTTGATTCCCTAGATATCTCTTTGAATCTGCTTCATATATTCTGTTTTCTTCTTATGTCATTCATTCAGTGATTCTATGTGTTTGCATTATTCTCTCTTTTTTTTTTTAACTGTGTCTTCTCTAGATGTGTTCAGCATTTCTTTCCTTACTTTTATCATTTCTTCTTTTACCTGGGAGACTATTTCTAATTTGAATTCCTTTTAACTTCTCAGAGTTGCTTCTTTATTTCTGTGGCTATTATTTCAGGTATTTCAAGTGTATGGCTTATATTTTCTTCTATGTACATGGCTCCTAGACTTTCTTGGCATGGGCTGGAGATTTGAGATTGCATTGTGGTCTTTTGTCTTGTCATTTTCCTATATTTATGTGTTTCAAGTGATATTCCAAAGGTTTTCCTGGCCATGTTCAAAATTGCGTCCTATGCCCTTGGCTATTGGGACTGATTGGAGGTTGCTAAGCATGCACCATTCAGGCCCACAGGACCTCCTGTGCTACCTTAGGTGTTCCAGGAAGCTGAACGGGCTCCTAACCACTGTGGGTGATGGTCCAAAGCTCTCCCCAGCTATGATTGATGTACTGGAAGTCACCTTACATACCCTCAACTCCTCTGATTGAATAACGGTCACCAGGCATGGTCTAGTCAGTCTCACGAAACCTCCAGAGCCTAGTCTAGTGTGGCTGGAAGCTGGATGGGCTGTTAGCTGCTGGGAGTGTTGATCTTAAACTCTTCCCTGAACCCCTGAGTGTATGTTGGAGCTCACCTTGCATGGCTGGCCTCAGCTCCCTGAATTGAGAGAAGGTCACTGGGCATGGCCCAGTCAGACCTGGGAAACTTGTGGAGCCTAGTCAAGTGTGGCTGGAAGCTGTGTGGGGACTGAATTTTCTTACATGCTTATTTATGAAACTATTGAGACTATAACATGACTGTTCATTGCTTTGTTAAGAAATAGTACACTTACTGAACAATTCTTACTTCACTGGGATAAAACCAATTGCTCTTAATGATTGTTGAATTTTATTTTCCAGTTTTTGTTAAGCATGTTTACATTGATGCTGATGGCTATTTGACAATATTTTGTTTATTTTGTTGTCATTGTTTGCCTTGTCCGTATGAGGCAATGCAGCAATTCTGTGCCTTGCTTGTATGTGGCAATACAATAGATGGAGGATTGAAAGGTATCTGTGTGTCACTTCTATGAAACAGTGGGAAAGGAACTGTATTTAGTATTTCTTTAAAGATTATTTATAATCAGCAGTAAAAAAATTCAGTACTTTTCTGATTCAAATATATTTTTCTCTGATAAGAATTCATCATTTGCTTTTGATCTACTCACATTTGGCATTTCAAAATTCAAATTTGTTAGTGTACATTTATAGAAATTTGTCCATTGCTACTATGTTTCCCAGTTTGTTGGTATATATTTTCACATAATATCTTGTAATTATACTTGATTCTTCTGTGTTAATATGCATGCTTCTATTTTTTATCTTAACAGTTCTTGTTTTGGACCTTTTGAGGCTATCTAAAATTGTGTGAATTTTTTAAAGCCTTCTTTTCATTGATCTTATGTATTTTTAGCTTCTATTTTATTTAACTCTTCTCTGATGTTTGTCATTTCTTTCCTTCTTTTGAATTTCAATTTTTATTGCTGTTCTAGGTCCTCAAAATATACAATTAAATGGTTTATAAATCAATTTTTTGTATAAAGATCCATTTTAGTGTGATTTTACTTTATGTCATACACATTGGCATGATGTGTTTCCATTTTCTTTTGTTTCGATAAAAGTTTTAATACTGACCAGCATTGTGTCCCTAAGACATTTTTGCTTTTAATACTATGTTTTAAATTTTAACATAATTTGGTAATTCATAAAACTTCTTATATTATGAGTTCAACTTTTTGACTTGATGAATATTTGTTCTGCTAATGAATATAATGCATTCTAGAATCTGTGTTCTGAAAAACACAAATGAAAGGAGGTATAAGAGCAAATATAGCCTGGGAAGAAATGAATCCAAAAGACAAGTTGATAAAAGAGTTTCTACATAACATAGAAAAAACAATTGAATGATGATAATAAGAAATCAACTCAGAAATAGGATAAAACACCTTAGTATACACCTCATGGGAAAAGATACAGAAGTGGAAACCAAGCATTGAGAAGACATTTCACAACATATATCATCAGAAAAATACATAGTAAACCATCAGTGAGACATCAGCACACACCTGTGAGACAAGCCAGTGTGTGATTCAACACCAACACCAAATACAGGCACAAATATGGAGCTGCAGGAACACTCATTGCAGGTAGGAATGCAAGTAATGCAATGGTTCAGAGAACAGTTTTGTGGTTCCAGAAAAAAAGTAATCCATAGTCAAACTACAGTAGCTGGCAACCAAGATTCTTGGAGTTAATCAAAATAGTCAAAACTCAAAATGGGAATAGAGGCATGTACTTGTAATCCCAGGACTTCTAAGCTTCAGATAGGAAGATCACTGCAAGTTCAAGGCCAGCGTGTCTTCACACTGAGTTCTAGGACAGGGATATAGGGAAAAATTGTCCCAGACAGAAAAAGAGTCAAAATCAGCATCACACAAAACCTGTACTTGAATATGATTTATTCTGCCATGATTCATGTAGCTCCTGAGGTTGGGGTTAAGGACCGAGAAAGGATAAGAAAATAAGAAGAGACAAAGCTGTGATCAGGTGTAGCCCTTATCCTCCTCATGGGAGGAAAGGTACTGGCTCCTCACTGCAGGGGCACTTATTATACCTTTTTAGCAATTTAATGTCACATGACACCCTGTTATCCTAGCAACCCAATGGTCAGATTGTCTTGAGGTTAGGTGTTTTCTGGCCTGAAGCAATTCTTTATGTGACTT